TCACAATATTTCGCCCAATCCATTTTTTCCCACACCGCTAGTGTTCATTCTTTTATCGCTTTTCACTGAGGTAGCTTCAGTTCCTGACCAGATACCAAAAAGACACTTTCCAGTTCAAACTGGTAAACACACCATCAGTTCATCACCAGATTTTTTATGATTTATAGAAAATTGTTTTTTCTTTTTTTATTGATGTAGGTTCTGATACCTATTGGGGCTAGTTTTAGCCACAAGCAACCTCTAGCTGGTTAGTTAAGGCTAAAGATCTCTTGCTACAGTGAATGAGAGTCATCAGCTACTGAGGAAGAAGACATGAATTAATCTGTAAAGGCTTTATGGGGGCGGGGCCCTGACTGTTGATAATGCTAAAAGCATTTAGCCACAAACTTCGCAGGAAAACCTAAAAACACGAAAACTGTGAAGCACTTGGATGACATCATCAAGTGTTCGTGAGACCTTATGTAGAAATATTGAAGCAACATCTCAAAACATTAACCAAGAAGTTAAAGCTTGGACACAATGTATTGTTTTAAAAGCCATAGAGAGGGAGTTTATGTTTTACCACCAACTCAGTCCAATAGGAAAACCTGACATGGTTCTATCGGGAGGAGTGGGCCAAACTTCCAGAATTATAGACCACAGTCATTATGGCTAAAGCACTGAATCAATTCAATTAATATAAAAGTCAACTTAGTCATCTAATGGGCTCTATGCACAGCTCCACTACTTCCTGAATTTAAAGCAGCTCCTTTGTTTCCTGTCTTTCATTACTGGACGAACTGATTAATCCAGGTGTGTCTGGCCAGTTACTTAGGTCATACACACCTGGATTAATCAGAGCATCCAATCATGAAAGACAGGAAACAAAGGAGCTGCTTTAAATTCAGGAAGTAGTGGAGTTGTACATAGAGCCTATTGGAGGATCCAAGCTTTAAATTATGCCATTTGCTTGGAGCCAATCAGAGCAGTATTTAGGCCAAAACGTTATATGTTTACATCTAAGGTTAAAAACCTTGGTTTGTAAATATGCAGTATCCACAACTCTTTAAATGGCATTAACGTTATTTATCAATCAATTAATTGCTAGATTAAAAAACAACCTTTAAGAATCTAACTAAAAACAAGATAACCTTTTCAACACTGCTTGCAAATATTCTAATTAAACTGTAGACACTGCGAAATGAAAGTTATACGTGTTTTCACACATTAACTGTCTGGTTTCATACCTGGTAACATCTCAAAGTTATCTGGGTTTCGTATTGGGTCATGACGCCATGGGAACCAGCTGAACATGATGGGTGATCAGAACCGTAACCACTGCAAATTAGGTGTAAAAAACTGCGTTAGAATTTTCAGAATGATCTAAAAACATCAAATAACATCTTGAACAACCGGTATAAATTAACTGATGTACAAAGTTTAAGGGAGTGATAACAGTCAGGTCTCGCTGATGGACAGAAGGGTGAGGGCTTCATCTGGCGGCGAAGCTCTATTCTGTCGGGGCGAAGATAGAGCTGAGCCCATCGGAAAAGATATCAACTCTTTGGTCCTTCGAGGTTTCATTCAAACTAAGGTCATGAGATTCAGACATATGGTGGTTTCCTGCGCATGCGTCACTGGAAGAACACTCTGAAGGTCAGGGGTTTCCTCCTGGAACAATGACCTGACCCCAGATAGACGGAAGACAAGGGATGGATGATTTGATACCAAGCATGCAGGTTAAACAAGCTGAGATCTAGAACTGCTGATAACAAACGGTGTTTAAAGCTCACATATAAAATCCCACATCCTCCGTCTCCAACCGGCTGCGCTCCAGACCGTCTGAACAAAGCAAACAGCCTCTGCTGTTCCTCCCGTCTTCCTCGGCGCTGACTTCCTCGGATTTGAGGAGAAATTCAAATTCAAAGGCGCAAAACATGCGGAATTGAATGCTTAATTTAATATGAGATATTCAAAAAATCCCCATGAGCATCCAGCATATGTTCAGTTTCAATTTTATTTTGTTATGGATTTTTGTAACAGGGATAACTAGGATCATAAATTTTTTTGTATGAACTATTTGTTCTCTACTTCCAAACTCAGCATCTCTTCATCCATTCCTGCGATAAGAAGTTTTTGAAGTTGTGAGAAGTTTTGAATGGATTTGATTAAACTTTTAAGCCTCTCGGTATAAAATAAATAATTTCATGGAGATGAGAAATCTGCTTCCTGGTATGTTGAAGTACCAATAGTTTGCATCGTATCATTTAATTAAACGCTCTTAGTATTGGGTAAAATATAAGAATTATGGTCTAATGTTTAGTTACCATATCTTAATTTGACAAACTGGATCTTCGACGTTCTTTTTCCTGTTTGGTGCGAGCAAAAAATAGCTCTGCTCTGTATTTTGACGGTGACGGACGGAGAAGACGTATGTGGACGATGACAAGCGGAGGATGTGGAACAGCTCTCATTGATTAACATGACAGAGAAGTATTCTGCACGACATACACTATATTGCCAAAAGTATTTGCTCACCCATCCAAATTATTGGAATCAGGTGTTCCAATCACTTCCATGGCCACAGGTGTATAAATTCAAGCACCTAGGCATGCAGACTGTTTTTACAAACATTTGTGAAAGAATGGGTCGCTCTCAGGAGCTCAGTGAATTCCAGCGTGGAACTGTGATAGGATGCCACCTGTGCAACAAATCCAGTCGTGAAATTTCCTCGCTCCTAAATATTCCACAGTCAACTGTCAGCTGTATTATAAGAAAATGGAAGTGTTTGGGAACGACAGCAACTCAGCCACGAAGTGGTAGGCCACGTAAACTGACGGAGCGGGGTCAGCGGATGCTGACGCGCATAGTGCGAAGAGGTCGCCAACTTTCTGCAGAGTCAATCACTACAGACCTCCAAACTTCATGTGGCCTTCAGATTAGCTCAAGAACAGTGCGCAGAGAGCTTCATGGAATGGGTTTCCATGGTCGAGCAGCTGCATCCAAGCCATACATCACCAAGTGCAATGCAAAGCGTCGGATGCGGTGGTGTAAAGCACGCCGCCACTGGACTCTAGAGCAGTGGAGACGCGTTCTCTGGAGTGACGAATCGCGCTTCTCCATCTGGCAATCTGATGGACGGGTCTGGGTTTGGCGGTTGCCAGGAGAACGGTACTTGTCTGACTGCATTGTGCCAAGTGTAAAGTTTGGTGGAGGGGGGATTATGGTGTGGGGTTGTTTTTCAGGAGCTGGGCTTGGCCCCTTAGTTCCAGTGAAAGGAACTCTGAATGCTTCAGCATACCAAGACATTTTGGACAATTCCATGCTCCCAACTTTGTGGGAACAGTTTGGAGCTGGCCCCTTCCTCTTCCAACATGACTGTGCACCAGTGCACAAAGCAAGGTCCATAAAGACATGGATGACAGAGTCTGGTGTGGATGAACTTGACTGGCCTGCACAGAGTCCTGACCTCAACCCGATAGAACACCTTTGGGATGAATTAGAGCGGAGACTGAGAGCCAGGCCTTCTCGTCCAACATCAGTGTGCGACCTCACAAATGCGCTTCTGGAAGAATGGTCAAAAATTCCCATAAACACACTCCTAAACCTTGTGGACAGCCTTCCCAGAAGAGTTGAAGCTGTTCTAGCTGCAAAGGGTGGACCGACGTCATATTGAACCCTATGGATTAGGAACGGGATGTCACTTAAGCTCATATGTGAGTCAAGGCAGGTGAGCAAATACTTTTGGCAATATAGTGTACGTGAGCGGGGCGGAGTGGAGCGCTGAGTATGTGGAATCTGAGGGTGATGGGTCAGAATTGCTGCTGATTCATGGAGACATGCCATTTAAAAAGTAACACCAAGTACTGCTTGTTAGGATAATCTTGTTAGGCCTATCTTTAACACGCTTAAAGCAGAGTTTATAATTCAAATGGGAGATATTAGGGCAGATTTTTGCAAGGGTAACTGGACAAACATTGATTCCTGCAGAACTGGTCCTCAAAGGAAAACAAAGACTCAATGGAGAGAAAGTCAAATATTTACTAGAGGACACATTTTAACTTTTTTCTTTGCTTGGTTCAATTCAGATGGTAAACCGCAAATTTGTTCCTTTTTGCTGCTTTCAGGGCTCATTGGGAAATCAGGATGTGTGGCATTAATTAGTTAAAACAGTGTAGCTCACAGAGAAAATAGGTCCATCTCATTGGTCAGGAGAGACATAAAAAAACGCAGAGAGGAGGAAGAAGTTTTAGTGTTTTTTAGTTCATTTTCTAAAGTGGATAATTAAATAAAAAAACAAACAAAAGAAAAGTCTATAGTTCTAAAAATGCTACAGTTATTACAAAAATAAACAGAAATAGTTAATTTTGACTTAGTGTTATGGGACTGTGTGCCGATTGGTTATCTGATCTAAAACAAACAAAAAAACAAAAGTTTAAAAGTTTTAGTGTAGCAGACATGAACTGGGGTGCAGCTTCTATGCATCTCTAGTCACCAGTGCTTGATAAGTTTCACTCTATGATAAACAAAATACATCTATCACAAAACAGACAGAAAAAAGTCATTAAAAGGGATATAACCGCTCTATTTTCACTGTTCTTACACAAGAATAATAGAAAATTAGTGGAACAAGTCCTCTGCTACCATGACTCCAGTGTTTACATGTTCACTTAGTGTGTTTCTGCTCGTTTACAACAGGAAGCTAAGATATTTATGGCTACAAAATACAGTCCGAGTTCAAAGGTTGCCGCTGTCAGTAGTAAATTCAGGCTGCTAAGGAGTCCAAAGGTTGGGACGAGGCTCTGTAGTGAAAACGTTTGTAGATTGTCGGGTAGGTGAGGTTAAAAAGTTACTCCAAGCGTCACAGACTCCTTCAAAACATCCGATTCTGGCTGCAGACCAAACAGACCACAGAAATGAGCCTCTACAGCGTCCAGCTCCTCCTCCATGATAAAAAACAGACGGCTCCTCTGCTGCTCCTTCGCGGCTCAGCCTCCAGACGTCAGAAACAACATTACACACTCACCCACACCATCATTATTGCCTCTTATTTAGGGAACGCACTCCCCACAGTTGAGTGACTCACACCAGATAAAGAGAATACTCCTGCACAGCTGCTTCATCTTTTCTTATGGCGTTGGTGTTAACGACGCGCCTCGGATCCGTGTGCAGGAGTATTCTGTTCCACCTGAGTCGCCTTCACAGCCCGGAGGTCTTTAGTGTCACGTTTCATCTCATCCTGTTCTGCCGCATCAGGGGGACGATGCATGATGGCGGACCTGCCTTCGACAGAAACGGGTGCTTCAGGAGTTCGTCGGCCGTGGCCCGCTGGGCCGGTTCCCGCACCAACATCCGGTCCAGGAAGCCTTTGAGGATAGGGGAGACCTGCCGGGAAAATCATTTTCTTATTTCATAGAAAATAAGAAATATGCTTTCTGCTACAAAAAAAAAAAAATCTAAATAAATTGGAACTAATTTATATAACTATGAAAGCGATTCTCAGGTAGTAAGAACCTTTAGCATTCTGGCTAACCAGATTACGTCATACTCGTCAGAAACGTGATGCGGTGCACCTCAGGGTTCTGCACATGAGGCTGTCCTCTTCCGTATACATTAGAAACGTCTTTCAGCGAAATCGTCCCTTATCTTTATGCTGATGATAATCAGTTTCACTCTTCCTTCAAGCCTGCTGGCTTTTATAAACTTTCCCATCTAGTGAATCAGCATCAGTTAGAAAATAAAGCATAATCACTAATAATTCAACCCCAACAAGAGTGAAACTTTAATAAATTCCAAACTAAATTCTCCAAGAAACCTGGAAGCATTATCTGGATTTGCATTTTTTTCAGAGCGTTACAGACCTCTGCTGTAAGATGCAGCGATAAGAGATAATTATACAGGCATTATTTAATGAGTGGAAACTGTTTTTATAAGAGAGCAAGATGACTTTGCTTCAAGACTCCTAAACTGCATTTGTAATATATCCACTGCAAGCAATGCTATATTCTCTGTCCAATCTTTAAGGGCCTCTAAAACTGTTTGCTTCTTTGCTAAATACTGCTATTGCCTAATGGCGCCGCCTTTCCTGGCCATTTCACAGCCACATAGAAATGCAAAGCAAAGCGGAAATGACACCGCTGATAAGACCTAAACCACAATCATCACAAACTGATCAGCTGGACCAAAGCTGATCAGTTTCGCTTTCACCAAATACATTTGGAATATGTAAAAGTGATTTCTCAGCACAACAAATATAGATGACCCGTTTACAGTCAGCTAACTGACTGTAAACGGGTCTATTTGTTAGAAACAAACCCAGCTGTCTATGAGGGTCAAACATTTCTGCCTCATTCTGATACCTTCCTCTGTAGCTCTGTGGTCGGTATAAAAACTTCCAACATCTACTGCCTCCATTCTACGCAGTCAGTATACACCTGAAAGATGATGCGCTGAAGCCCAATCAGGTTTCACAGGGTTTAATAGGTCCGTGCATCTGTTTAATGGTTTTAGTTTGCAGGAACCCAAAACGCGTTAAAACGTTTTTTATTATTTTTAGGTTTTCACCTTGTGCAGGTTCTTCAGTTTGGGGGGCAGGTTGTCTCGAATCATCTTCATGGCTTTAAGCGGCGGCTCGTTGAAGTATGGCGGCTCTCCGTCCACCATCTCTATCACCATGATGCCCAGAGACCAGATGTCCACCTGCAAACAGCAAAGACCGAGCAACCAAATGTCTGATTAGTTCATATACGACATCTAAAGCTCAGTCTGGATAGTATAACAACTAAAGGTAACTGGCCAGTTGATTGGACCCATCTTGATGCTAACAGACAGACTCAAAGCCCTTTTTCATGAGCACTAGGGATGGGAATAGAAAACCGGTTCCGTGTGTTTAAATTCCAACTAGGCAACATTTGGCAGCTCGCTTAACGATTCTCTTATCGATTTCAGGCAGCACAACTTACTTCACGATTTTTACGCAAGTTACGCACGCGGCATTCATTAAGAAAGTACAACGTGACCAGGCATAAGTCTAGAAAAGCAAAACAAAAAAATGTCGTCCCATCAGGTAAAGGGATCGAAAGTTTGGCTTCATTTTAATGAAGAGAAAGATGGCAACAAGCCACTTTGCAATCATTGCAAGGTGGCAATTACTGGAAATACATCCAACATGCAGAAACATCTGCGCGCACAACATGGCATACATTTTAATGAATGCCATGTTTACGATGCCTTCCAGACAGACGCTAAAGTTGCGACCAGCATGGAAGGCAACTTTGGTGGTAAGTAGCTAGTTTTATATCTGTGCTTAATGTGGTTCCTAGTAAATCATATGCCATTTCTGGAAATAAACCAATTTCCTACCTCTCTTTGGGGTTATTAAGGGAGTGCGCCTTTGTTAATCCAGGCCGTCATTGCTAGCATGTTTAATTAGAACCACTGGTAGCTGGAATTCTTACATGATTCTAGCTATTGCAATGCATGTAACGAAACATGCTATGAAGTTGCTCCGCAGTTCAGGGAGCGAGAGAAAAGCGACGCTTGTTTATTTAAATCAGGGGGAGATGAGTTTATTTCCCAAAATTATACAGTAATGCTTTTTCATTAAACGGAATCGATAAGGAACTGAATCGTGAAAATCTTATTAATTCCCAACCCTAATGAGCACTTTTGCTCTTTATTAGGGGTGTAAATCACATCCATCATGGCGATTCGATTCAGTATCGATTTCCTGACCTGACGATTACTCAAGAATACACCACGATACGATTCGATAAATTAGTTCTTTTTTTTTTTTTTTTACCTTACAGGCTAGACAATGTTTCACATTTGAAATAAATCTATGAAAGCTGTAATATTGTTATGCATTTTTTAAGAAACAACAGCAAATAACAGAAGTAGAAAAGTTGCACTCCATCTATTCCTATTAAAACCTCATACACTGAAAAATAATAATACCCCTGTGTTATAGATTCTTAAAGAGGCCTTGCATCAAAAAATACTGCACAAAATCAGTGCAATGAGTGCAATGCAAAGCCTCGGCTCCAGACGTCCCCGTCCCCTCCGCAGAAGCTCCGCTGCACCTCTCCCAAATTGTAGCTGACCGCAGACAGGAGGCCGGCTTGTTTTGTTTTTGTGACCGAAATTGCGAAAAACAACTTGTGAAGTTTGACCCGCTAGAAGAGTCAGGGGTGCAAGAACGCTGGGATCCTTTTTCCACCTGGATCTCTGCACTTTTTGGCCCTCATCTTACTCCGTCGTGGGACTAAACTCGCCCCCACTTCCTCACCGCCTCGGCCGTATCTAGACCCACAGCGTGTAGAGCAGACCACGCTTCAATATTGGGCATAAATAAAAAACGTCTGTGTCAAGCTCACTGCAACACACTGCTGTAAGAGTATAACCAGGAAGCGAGGTAGGAGGGCAAAATAGGTTTAGCGCCACCGCAGCACGGGAGGGAGAATTACGTCCAGGAGCAAAAAAAAAAAAACATAAATCGATTATCTTGCAGACGTATCGATGCATCGGATTGTCGGCTGTTGGATCGATGCAAAACGATTATTATTTACCCACCTACTCTTTATGTTAAAAAACGAGAAGAGATGTGGTAAAGGCCCTGTCCTGATGCAGAAACGCCTCAGTGTGCAGTTTGTCTGCATCCTGAAACGTCTTTAAAGAAGAGATGTTTGATGATCTCGGACAGAAGATGGGCACCTAGCTGGCAGAGCAAAGTACACAAGAGTTAAACCTAAAGGCCATCTCTGTTAGAGCTGTTCCAGCCTGAATCATCGGGACAATGATCTCAAACCCAGCAGCTAATCGACAGCACAACGGATGAAAGAAAAGATTCTAGACAAAACAACGGGTCATTGTTTAGTCTATTCATCAGTTGGAAGAAGAAACTGATGAACAGCAGACAACTGAGACTCATTGCTGCTATCTGAAAGTCATGAAAACATTTAGGACACAAATACATGAGAAAACAAAATAGAACTAAAAGAGATTTAGAAAAAAAACACCAACCACCAAGATAAATGGAGTAAAATAGTGGATGTATAACAAACCCTTGGGGAACATTAGCGTCACAATATCCAGCTAAATGCTGTTTAGGGAAAGGCAAACATTTATTATAAACAGAATTTAAGAGTTAAGTTCACCTCTGGTCCATAAGGCAGCCTGGATATAAGCTCTGGAGCCATCCAGTACGGCGTTCCAACCAGGGACTTCCTCCTCTGAACTTCCTTCGAAACCTGAGCGCAGAAACCAAAGTCTGACAGCTTCACCTGAAGGCAAAGAAGAAATGTGAAGATCACGAGGTTAGAAAGATATTTCTCACTTATTTTCTGCTATTATTCACACGTTTGATGCTCAGGAAAGCTGGATTTTCCTTCCAGCTGCATTAAAAGTTGTGCTTCATTATCTGGGGCATAATTTTGCTTCGTGAATTTTGACATGTGAAAGAAACTCGATTAATGAGATTCACAGCAACCCACCCTTTTTCTTTCTCAGAAAGTTGGTGCATGTTTGAGTAATGCTGAGAATCAGCCTTTAAAGCGGACCACAAGGCTGCAGCTCTCAAACAGGGAGGGGGAAATGAAACAAGCTCACTCAGAAAAGAGGTTCTTGTTAGTACAAACGCATTCAGAGAGCAAAGGCCAGAAAAATCGCTCCTAATCAAACAGCTCAATCTTTGAAAACAGGCAGTGACAACGCAAATTAAATCAACATTAATAGAAGATAACAACAGCAGGCAGGTGCCAGAGGAAGGTCCGACACACGCCCATCCTTCTGCCGAGAAATGTTTCAGGGTTGGTTGAGTCTCCTTCCCCTGCTAGGCCAAACCACAAACTCACACCCAGACACCAAAACTCTGCAGCCAATAGTTTTCGCTGAACTGCAGACAAACAAAAAGCTTTTCCTGCAAACAAGTTCTCTTTTCCAGATATCAATACCACCGTCTGTAACAGAGAAAGAGGCAAATTTGCATCAAAATATTTTACATCTCCAAAAAGTGTTGCATCAAAGCTCTGGAGTCGTACTGCAGAGCAAATATTAAGCCTTGCAACACGTCAGCTTAATGTAGGAAGTTTAACAGATGCTCTGGTCAGCAGAGACGTGCTAGATGGTTAAGTAAACTAGCCACAGGACAGTCCTGACACATTAGAAGCTGCAAAGTATTTTAGACAGAGGATCAGCGCTCAGGTTCCAACAGAACTCAAATATGCAGCCACAGCTACAATGAAGTGGCTTCAACTAATGTATATTCAACTGCTAGAATGGCCTAGTCAAAGTCCAAAGCTCTCTGTTAAAGGTATAGAGGACGACCTTTTATTTCTGGGTGAGTCATCAAAATAAGTGGTTCTCCTAATTGTAAATCATTCTGGTGATGCGCACTTTCCGGCATATATTTGTGGTGAGCTGAGGTTTCAGACAGTCATTGAAGCTCACCTTTCTCACGGCGGTTCTTTAAAAATGGCCGAGGGTGGTAAGAGAAAATGTGTCTACGAAGTGTATGAGAAGAGAAAGGCCTCAGCAGAAGCAGATATTAATCACAATGCTTTGCACTAAGAGTTCTCCTGGCAAAGCATTATGGGATTTGCTGTATAGTGATTGAGGGATTTAGGGCGGACGTTCGGACACAGTAAGCATGTATGAGCTATGAGAACAGAAACTTTAAAACAGAGCGTGCACGAGGAGAAATGGACTCGTGCACGCTCTCGCACACGTTTAATAGGCGTTCTCTCGGGAGCGAGTGTCGGGTTACATGTGCATTTTTTTTAAGTGCGGTGAAAAAAATTCTGGAAAATCCTCCACAATACCTTTAAATCTTTATGTTTTTAACTTGGACTTAGACAACTCTTATTGTCCTGTTGTATACACAGAGTGTATTTCGATTTGTTCAGCTTTCAGGAAGTAAACCTTAAAAAAAAAACTTTCCATCTAATGTCTGAGTTTGAGATGTTTTGTAGAGAATGGTAGAAGATTTCAATGCTGGTAGAGACCAAAAAGATTTTGCTGCTTGACTCAAAGGACTGGATACAAAGGCATGCCGCACTTTTCAAAATTTCCATTTAGAAAAGTGAATTAAATGAAAAGGCCTTTTTTCTTGCATGATCATGCACTCATTTGTGGTCTATCACATGAAATCTCACCATGGCACACAAAATAGAGGTTTTATCAGGTTTTAATTAGCATACCACTGTATTAAATTTAGCATTTGTCACAAACTCATCTTCCTCTGAACTTCCATATGAATTCAAGGTTCCTTTTTACATTCTGCGGAGACTAAACACAGTTCCCATGTTTTCAGTGCCAACCTGATTGAAGGATCCAGATTATATGAAGGTCTGCTCACTGTTCTGTAATGATCTAGAGTTAGATGGGCCCGATATCAGATTGATTATATCATAGTGACGTCAAAACCTTATCTTTAGAGGTTTAATATTAACTCGCTGCAAAAGCAAAGCAGATACAATAAAAACTGCTTGATCCAAAACGTGCCTCCTCTTCATACCAAAACTAAATCAAAGTTTCCAGTTGTGGAGCTGGTTTATAACGTCTCTTTATGGCTGCGGTGGTTTTTTTGCGGCCCGCCAGTGGGCTTGGCACCATCCAATTATGTCACTTTCAACAGTGAGTTTTACATCAGCACTATCACTATTATCTAAATGTTTATCTGGCCTTTTTTAAAGCAGAAGGCATTACAAAGCACTGATGTCCCAAACTGGTGTGTTTTCATTAAGCTAACTGTCTTAATCTATAACATTGCTTTCTAGTTAAAATATCCCATCACTTCCTGGACCTGGTCACGTTTTCATTGACCAAAGTCTGTTCTGACTATGAGTGCGCAACACATTTCTAACAACACTAACCCTCCGCTTATGAAACAGAAAACCTGCAATTCTCACTATGAGCTTTGTTTTCTTTATTTTCGGTCTTGGTACTAAAATTGAAGCCAGCAGGAGGCCTGTCGCTGCAAACTTTGGGTCAGACATCAGCTCAAAAGACGCCAAACCATAAACAATTGTCCACTTCCATTGAGGATTAAACATTAGCTTTGAATGAGCTCATATGCGTGACATGCAGCGTTCATCATCGCAGGCAAGAGTCATTCCTTTCACAGATCTATTCATGGGGCTGTAACATTTGGTTTTTATAACAGGAGCACTAGTACTCCAAAACGAAAAGAAAAATCCGAGGCACAAAAAAAAAAAAAAAATATTTGTGCTTTGACTTTTCTTTCCTTTTTTAATTAAAATTAACCTGGTCAATAATTACTGTTTCTTGAGGCTGTCTTTTTTTCAAATGGGGTTTCCAGTCCCAAACGGCGAATTCCCTGCCTTATAAGGTTGTCCTCAAACTCAAACCAAGGGTAGCCTTGTTAGCAGTGTGGCTAAAAATCATCAAAACAGAATGCTGGAAGAAACACGTCCCGTTTGTTGACATCTCCCATCAAACATAAAAAATTAAGACCCATTAAATTCATCTAAACAACAATCTATCCAGGTGTTACCTTGATTCTTGTCATACGGCATTTGCTGTACTTATTTTTTGCAAGACCAGTCATGATGATGATGCCATATTAAATGTAATATTTCGGCTTACCCCTGATAAATAATATGAATATCAGAATAAATTCTTAAAGATAATCATTTTTAGACTTTATATATTCAGTGTGTCATGATTTCAGGGGCTCGCTCACTCACCACTCGCTGAAGAAACTAAACTCAGAGCCATCAGTGCATGGGTTTTGCAAAAGTCTAAAACACAGGAAATGGACTCTAGATTTTGTTGCGAGTTGTTTTTTTGTTGTTGAAAAAAATAGAACAAAAGAGAAAACTCTGAGAATTCACTAACTTTATCAACAAAGCTGTTAACACCGTGCTCACCTGCATTGGTGAGTGGATTGCAATCAGACACAGGGTTCCCGTTTTTACAGCACTTCAATAACGTTTATGTTCCAATGTGTAGGTAAATGTGTTTTAAAACACAGTTTCAGTGGCCGGTGGGTTCATTACACGTCAGAGTATCAACATATTTCCATTGTAGTTTTAGCCTAACAGGTGTAGAGCTTTCTCTTTATCCAAAACGTACCGTCTGCTGTTGGGTCAGCAGCCTGATCATCTCCCTCGGTGAGCTGATCGCAGTCTGAACGGCGCAGGGTCTACGTTCTCACAGCCCTTCTCTCATGTTTATGTGCATACAAGGTGGTAAAAAGGCGCACACTGATGTGCCACATTAGGCCTTGCTGCCAGAAATCTCTAAGGCAACAGTGACATGTCGTGACTTGTTACCCAAGTATTTTCCACTAAAAATTTACCATTCGACTTTTTCGAAAGCGTTTCTCTTTCTTGTTTATAAAAGACAAACAGATATCTTACCTAATTAAATCCCGTCTTACTTTAGAAGCAAAAAATAAAAGAGCTGAAATCTGTGTTCTATTTTTTTCCCTATATGCACAGACCTATTTTTAGGTGTAAGAGCGAGTAAAATGCTCACTCTGTACAGCCTTGATTCAGTTAATAAACCTGACTTAAATTTTGTAGTAGGGGTTCAGGTACACATTGGAGAGAAAGGCAGCTCTAGATCAGATTCCAGGGGCAAGGTGTTTTACAGGAAAAATAGGAGGGGAAAAAAGGAGAACTGCATCAAAAAAAAAAACTGTTAACATTAGGGATGCACGATATTGGGATTTTGGCCGATATCCGATATGCCGATATTTTAAAACTCATGTATCCGATAACCGATATCGATGCCGATGTTAAAGCTGGACAAAAATAAGTAGTCATTGAAAATAGCAGTTTTGTTATCCATTTCTGACACGTTGAAAAATAATATACTCAAATATATTTTCATGCTGATATCAAATTGATTTTTAAAAACGCGGTATCGATCTATTTTACTTTCAAAGTCTCGTGAAATTTCATCGTTCTGTTACAAACTCTCCTGATATTTAGCAAATTCTTGTGAGATTTTGTTAGTAAAATAGATCGATACCGCGTCAATATATCAACATATAAAAACATGGCAAAATTTGGTGAATTTTCGGGGGATTTCGTAGCATAACGATGACATATAGCAATATTTCATTAGTAAAAGAGATTGATATGGTGTTTTTAAATGGCAATATATCAGCATATGAAGATATTGGGATATTTTAATGTATCAATATTTTTTCCCTCGTCTTTAGAAGTTTTTAAGTCTGTAAAAAAGAAGTTTTTGAGGAGGAAGAAGAAGTAGTGTTTTTTTTTTTTTTTTTTAAGACTTTAGAAACTCAGAAGCTGATCAAATATCGGGTTAAATATGGGTGGGGTGGCCGATGTCCGATATTCAGTTTTAAGGCCGATACAGGCAGATACCGATAGGGGGCCGATTATACCGTGCATCCCTAGTTAACATTTAAAGTGCTGAAACAGCTATGATAAAAGGACTTGGAGAAGCAATATTTGGACTTTACAGAAAAGCTGCAGGAAACAGTGACGTTTTTGGTTTTATTGGAACCAAGTGTTTCTGTATAGTTGGTTCCTTTAGCCGGGAAGAGTATAACATAAATATTGTGGACCTTTTGTTTTGTTCTGGTCCTTGAGAACTAAAAGAAGGTCTCTAATGACTGGGGAGCCTCACATAGCCCATACCTAACCTGTACATCTGATAAAATAAGGCTATATTTACCAGGCATCTGTCCCTTTATTGCTTTAATGGTATTTTCTAAGCCTAAATGGAATTCTAGCAACGGGTGTGATAAGATGACCTTAAGAAAAGTGCCGCCATCTACCAGAAAGCCAGGTGGCAATAATTGACACAGCTAATTAAGAAAGTGAATCGTCATGGTGACTCATAAGAAAGCGACACCTTGCCACGGTTATAGACTAGGGATGCACGGGAAATTCGGCCACCAAATATTTTCGGTTGGATTTTCAGTCAAATTTTCGACTTACAGCACATCGGGCGCAGGGGAGAAGGATCGCAGGCAAACAGAGCAGCCTTCACAAGAAATGTTGTTGAGCGCGCAAGAAAATGACTGAAGCAAGAGAGCACAGTTTTTCAGAGTTGAGCACGCAGCAGACATGTTTTGAGTGAGGAGGTGTGAGTTTAAACGTTGCAAATCGTTCTCACTGCGCCATCAGGTACGAAATGCCACAGAAATCCAAACGTCTCCATAACCGTTCTGAAAAGAATAGGACACTCCGTCTATGGTGGACGTGTTTGAAAGCTCAAGAAAGTTTCTCCGTGACTCTGCCATGGTAAAGGGAAAAACAGGAAAAGGTCAGTGGTAAATAAATATTTTTGATTAGTTTGTAATTGATTTATTGAAATGCCTCGAGTTTAAATTTCTTTATGTTTTTTAAGAGGGTTAGTGAACGTCGTGGTAAAAACTGCTATGGTTCTAATATTTTTGACAGTAATTTTTTCTGTGTTTTTAATTTCCAGTTTTTGGCCTCGGTTTCCTCAATTTTTTTGTTTTCAGTTTCAGCCAAGAGTTTTCATTTCGGTGCATCCCTGTAATAAACCAATCAATATCAACTTCATAAACCGATCTACAGCAGCTCTTAGTTAAAGTAAATCAACATACATAAAAAGGGCTTTATTTACTAGAAGAAAAAAAAAAAATCTGTAAAAACAAAGCCTAAAACACAAAAATAAAAAATAACACAAGAGCAATCCATCAGAAAAACTTTGAATTAAACCAGAGGAAATAACCAGAGTATAGATTTTTAAAATGTCATAACATGAATGCACCTTTAGAAACAGTTGCTTCTGTATTTTATCCTTTAAGCTCAAAGAAGATTCTGAATGATTCAGATATTTCGGAAATAGTGACAGAAATATAAATATGTATATAAGCTCTATATATAAACTGTGGAAGACAGTAAATGACTCATTAATTAAATGTTAAAAGTGGCCCAAGAACAGAACAGAACTTGGGAAACTCCGTGTCCAATACCCGATTGTTGATCGTGGCAAAAAGGCACAAAATAGTTTTCGATGCCATAAACTAGTTCTTCACCGTACCACACAATCTATCCTCCATTTTATCACTCAGGATGTTATAATTAACTCTTCTGAATGCAGAACTGACATTCAAAGATAAGACAGAAGACGTCAGGTATGCAACTTTAAAGTCCCTAAAAGGTTTCAGTAAAATTATTACATTGTTTTTCATTATAAAAATTATTTATTTGTTTATAAACTCTTTCAAAGGATCTTTTCAAAAATCCAATACAATTTTAAAAACATATTTGTTACTGATGCATGCAGACATTAAAGCTCATTTTTCACCTGATGATAGACTGACCATAAAACATGGAAGCAAGCATCTAACACAAACAGTCGCTGTAATGCTTTCCTTCTGCTCATTACTCAGCTGAGCTAACATTACAGCTCCAACCAGTGTGTTATAAACCGTTCTGCTGACTGTGACACAAAACAAACTGAGGAGTTTTTCACTTTGGAGTTGCTATGCAACCAGGCTGGTTTCATTTTCTGCAGAAAGCAGAAACTTGCCTGTCACCGCGCAGGAAGTAATTTGGTATCAACTGCAGCTCGCTGACAATAGCGTTTCAAAATTAGGTCATTTCTCCAAATCACCCAGCTGTTATTTACATCTTTTCTTAGTTACACCAACAAAAGGGGGGATTTATTACTTATTATTGCCTAAAAGACGAATTTAAAAAAGCTGCATAAAGAAGACATGTACTTTAATGGATGCAAGTTATAAATAGAGGATTTATAGAGAACTATGTTAAAACCACAAACATCAGAGCCTTGGTTCTTTGATGATAAATAAAAGAATGATGGTAAAGATCGGCAAAAAGCTTTAAAAAAAACTGCAGCAAACTGTGATATCTGTGGATCAACAGGTCTGCATTACAAACAGTAGAGGCTACCTGCATGCCAAAAGGCTGGAATAAGCCATAACAACCATCAACATGTGATTTAATTTTTTTAGGAGAATCATGTGTTCTGGTTAGATCACACTACGACTTAGAAGTTTGCACCAAAACCTGCAAATGAGTTTGATGGGAGCAGAGAAAAACCTGCAAAAGCAGATTTAAAAAATGTAATGTCAGATTTTTCCACTTTGAACATCCTGATTGGTTGACTCTGTAGTAGCAGTACCGTGTCTAGATTGTTGATGAATCTTTAATGTTGTTTCTATTGAATCAAACTCAAAAATCATCTTATTCTCTTTTTAAAAATATTTTTTCACTAAGAAGCAGCTGCTGTTGGAGCTCCTCATACATGTGAGCTGTACGTACCCGGCCATCGTGAGTCAGGAGGATGGAGTCGCTCTTGATGTCTCTGTGGATCACACCCTGGGTGTGCAGGACAGACAGCGCCTTCAGAACTGACAGACACACGGTGGCGATCTGTTCCTCGTTCATCCTGCACAGTCAAGAAAACAGCAGAGGCGTCCGAACAATTAGGGTTTTTCCTTCCCAATATTTCTGCAGTGATGTGATTCATTTCGTTGAATTTTGTGGCACAACTGAATTTGGTGGCCATGTTATTACATTTCACAGATTTATCATACAAATAAGTGCATTGGCACTGAGGATATTAAAAATCTGCTGCTGTGGAAGAATACCACATCCAACAGCTTGTCAGAACCAGATCCTTGTAGCTTAATGCAACACTGCCCCCCAGTGGACTGTTTTATTTCTGCCATGAGAAAAACTGATGAAAAAATTAACTCCATACATCAGTTTAACTAAACTTTGTAGATTCTTGGCATTAGTGAATGAGTGCTTTGAAGTTCTTAAAAACTAGAAGAAAAGCTGCAGAAGCTGAACTGAAACCTGAAGAGCCAGCAGAGCGTTTTCCCTTTGGTTCCATCTTAAAAAAGGATTTCTACATATTTCAAGCATCCTCATTGAAGTTTCTTCATATCTTTAACATTAAGCACATCTAAGGATCAAACATTTACCAAGCCTTGATTTCTACCTGCATAATAAAATATGCAAACAGGTTTTATTTCCCTGCTTCTTTTGGATCTGAATAAACTTGGATCCACTTTACTAAGTGAAAATATTTAAATCCCAGTCTGTGATCTTTGGCGCCTTTATTTTCTGTTTGAACATTGAAAGAATTTTAAAGATGTGATTCTGCATCTAAACCTAAATTCTTAACAAAACTTGTACCTTTTACAAATCCAGTTTTCTAGACCCAGATATCCACACGCTTTAAAACAAAACGAACAAGGTCTTGGCTTTTTTGGGGGGGAAACAGATGCCTCTAATAAAAGCCTTGGAAAAAATAAACTTTGCAAGATAAAAACCCAACAGGCAGTAATGTCACCATGACGATAAGAACCAGACTGCCATGGCGGACTTGGTCTCACCTGGTGTGGGTGACGATGTCGGTGAGAGCTCCTCCCTCCAGGAACTCCATGACCACCCAGAGCTCATCCCCCACCAGGTAACTGTTGTACATCTCCACCACGTTCTCATGGTGATAGTCCCGCATGATCACCACCTGTAGGAGCCAGAGAAAAAACAACATCTTTCAGTTTGTGTTTAAAAGTGTTCATTACACAGCTGAGGTACCACTGAGACCTCCAGGTCCATTCAGGGCAGAACGAAAGCTTATTTTTACTAGCAGTTTTTGCTAAAATTTTTATTAATATTAGGGCTGCAACTAACGATTATTTTAAAAATCGATGAATCGGCCGATTATTTTTTCGATTAATCGATGAATCGGACAAAAAAAATTTTTTTATATTAACCTCTTTATTCCAAAATAAACATTTTAGACAGAACAAACAAGCACACAAGTACAGGTTGCTCATTAACTGTACTGGTGCAATATGAAAAATAAATGTTTGTGTAAAAACTACGCAAACTTACATGAGAAATGTAGCTGTACATCCACAAAATATAGGCTACTTTGTTTCATAAAGCGCAAAAAGAGACAGGCATTTTTGTTTTTTAAAGCCCCTAAGGGGTTCAAACAATAGATCCCCCCATTTCAACAAATGAGTTTTTTTAGACTAGAAGAGTTCTGCCTTTTAAGACAGGAAAGTATAGCAGTTAAAGTTGCTGCTTGAGAAAATACTGAACCATAGAGATAAAAATAGCCCTGTGATTCAAATTATAAATTGTATTTGGAATAAAAATGACACATCCTCCAAAGACAGATATTTACATGGGAATGTGGCAGATAATTAATTGACATATTACTGATCTTGCTGGATTTTGTTCTGCTTTACTTCCATAAATTGCAGGATCTTCTTTTCTTTATCTTTGCCAGAAGATTTAAACTTTAAAAGCCTTGCCCTCATAATTTGCAAGTTAATTTATTTATAAAGAAAATATAAACGCTGCTTAAACAAATTTAAATGAAATTAAAAGTAAAATAAGTAGCCAACCTTATCACTGTCTGTAACCTACTAACAAGGTAAGGAAAGCATCAGATGAGCTACCTGAGAAACTAACGTTACGTTTCCCCACTTTAAAATGAAACAAACATGGTTACTCATCCTGCTGATCAGCTCTCTTCACTGCCATTGAAGGCTCCAACGTGTTTTCTTTTCAGGTGCTGCGTCATAGCAGTGGTGCTTCCGTGCCATGTTCATTTGTTTTTACAAAAGTTGCATGTTACGACTTTTTTCACTTTACAAAGCGCCGGCTATTTTAATTATTGTGATCAATTTGCGCCGTCAATCCCGGCGCATGCGCGCTTCATTTGCAGTCTGGACGCTGAGGGTTAACTCCTCACTAAAATCCTGCGGCTCTGACTGAGAGGGATTCCTGTGGGAGAGGGAAAAAGGCGTTGGGATGGGGGAGGCGCCCCAAGGCAGGCAAAAGCCGCCAGTGACACCGTAAAAAGTCGCCAGATTTGTCGCTAGTCGCTTTTTTGAAAAATAGTCGCTGGAGGGGTCTGAAAAGTCGCTGAGTTGGCAACACTGCAACTGCGGCGCTGACTCGCTCCGCCATATTTTTTTTTTCTTCCCCCGGTTGACGGCGGCGGCGGATGACGCATTAATCGCGCGACACAACTAATCGATGATTAAATTCGTTGCCAACGCTTTTAAAAGTCGATTTATATCGATTTTATCGATTCGTTGTTGCAGCCCTAATTAATATTGACATGTACAGTAATGTACCCTGGCCTGAGTTAACATTCCCCATTAATATTAGCCTGCTGCTGACAAACCAAACAGCAATAGGCCAGAATAGGAAAGAGGAAAAATAAAAATCAGCCGAAAATACCAACTGGGCGATGTGTCAGTCTATTAACAACTGGTTCATAATCTTGACAGTTTAGCATTAAGGAAATAAAGGAAATGAGTCATAAACTATGAGTGTAAGAAAAAAAACAATAGAACCATTAATTCCTCTTTAAATAAAAATTACATATGCCAGGCATTTGTCCTGATGGTGTTTATTTGGTTCTTTTTTAGCCATAGTTTTTCCTCCATGTGCTGCCAGTATTTACTTCCCCATCCAACAGCTTGGCAGCTTCAGGTCCTGCTTCACTCAACATCAACACTTATGTTGTACCCTGAGCTCTACTTATGTCTTCTATATTTCTTTGCTCCTTTTAACACTTGATCTTGACCTTTCCTCTTTCCTTTTGCACCTCCATAGACAATCCTCCATTACTTCCTTGCTCACTCATTACTTGCATGTGCAATATTGTACCTATGGTCATGTGGTTTTTGTTATGGTAAATATACAAAGCGCTTAGTTTACTATCAAACAGAGCATTTAGAAGGTCTAAAAAACAGAGATAAAATATAAAGTAACAGGGAGCAATAATTTCATTCTGAAAGCATTTATATGCAACCAGAGTGAGCTGGAAAAACTGAGAACCTCCAGGGGAAAAACGTCCAAAAACCCACCTCAGGTCAGCGAGGAACTAATAAGGAGTTGATAAATGAGTTTAAACAAATAACTACATCAAAACAATTAGCATATCAATTTAAAGCTTCATTCCTGTAATCTGTTAATACAATATTACAGTTTTCCTATTATAGGAAAAGTTAAAAACTGCTGTGAAATCAGCCTTTTTTACCTCCCCCTTTCAGATAAGAGCAACTCCTCACAACGAGTCACTTCTCATTTGTCATCCTTCTAGTTGACAGTTTTACACATTTTTTCCTTCAGCTTGGCTCCTTTTTTTGGTAAAAAAAAAAAAATCTAAAACTTTTGCATGAAGAGGGTTCAGATGTTGTCGCTCTACTGCTGTTAAATCTGCAGCCATAGAAGTCGCTTCAGTCAAGAAAGTGCGTCAAAGTTTCAGAGACCGCCTGCGATTTTTGAAAATAGCCTTTATGTTCAACAAAATCTGATTGAAAACAGGGGCACTTTTACTGACAGCAAAGTGTTAGAAGCACTAAAATACAGTAGATTTAATGTACATTTAAAGAACATTCAAATGGGGGAGGCAGGGGAGATTTTAAGAATAATTGTTAGCAATTTCCTCTTATGCTTCTAATATTTTTTAAACTCTGTTTTGCTAATAAACTTTACCTCCATCGATAAAGAACACTTTGGACCAATGAGTCCATTTCTCTTGAATTGAGTTCAATTTTTCTTCAGTGTGGGAAGAGGAAGGACGTGTGGTAGCTGGTGTGTAGGATTTGACATTTCAGGGGTGCAGTTCTCCCTGTTGCTAATGTAACTTTTCCTTCTACACTATATAATTTTCTACAATATAATAATTTCTTTTTGGATTTTTATCATCAGCAACAAATGAAAAGCTTAAAAAATCTTTACCCATGTTTAATTATGTCTAGCAACTCTAGGTCCATCTCCGTGACCGTGATATCTTGCAGACGCGCCATTGTTGTTTTGGAGGATAAACACTGCCGCCTGTTCCACGGATGTTCTTGTGACCATCCGCCGAAGTTCTCGCAAGTTCCCCAATAGGTTCCCCCTTGCACTTTGGTGGAAAACTGTTGTACGTCCCTAGAAATTCCAGACCGACGGTGCGGAAGCATACCAGCAAAATTGGTTCCAGACCAAGGCACCATTTGATGTGTGCGGTTGCAGAAGTTTAATCTGCCCTTTATGCATTGAAATGAAGAAAGTTGTGGATAACTGTAAAAACGACCTAGGTACTCTGATTAGCGTAAAAATAAGAGGCAGAATTAAATAAGAAATAAATCATCCAGTCTGCCATGAAACTCTTAAATTTAGATTGTTTTTCATTTTAGTGGAAAATTAAAGGCATACTATGCAACATTTTTCAGTTAATTAATGTGTTCCATAACGTTTTGGATGATTAAATGAGTCATTTCAGGTTGAACAAAGGTATTCTCGGCCGCCCTGGTGGTCTGTGGGGGAAATACCGCACTTGCAATTGCAGGAGCCCTCGGCCCGCACCCACAGGCTCAGAAGTCTCGCGAGAGTCAGTCTTGCTTTACGGCGAGAACTGCTACACGCCCCCAGTTAAAAGCATGCTCGTTGCTAGCACAGTGGCACAGGGCTCCGGACAGAGAGAGGAGTCGTACACGGGTGAACATCGGGCAAGCTTTTTTCCGAATGGCGAGAGCTAAAATAAAAAGAAGGACCTCGCGTTTCTGCTGATGCGATTGTAAGTAACATTGGAATGGTTTCTCTCTCTCTGTGTGCATGTTCATACTTTCACTGTGTTAGTCATTCGTTGCGTTCGCCTGTCTGCTAAGCTCAAAACAACCGCGCCTGGCTTGACGGAGAAACCAGGAGAACAGCTGTGCATATTTACGACAGTGCACTTTTACTTTCGCCCTCTGGGGGGAGCCTCGATGGAAAATCAACACCGGTTGCATAGTATACCTTTAAAGGCTGGATTTTCTTAATCTTTTATTGTCAGTTTGTGAAACATGAAAAGACAATCAGGGATGGGTTTTTAAATGCTAGAGAAAAAAAAAACAGCCTCTACACAGATAAAATAAACTTCCAGGATTTAAGCTATTTTAGATGTAAAATGTTAGATTTTTTTTTTATTTTCTTTTAAATTCATACATCTTTTTTGGGCGTTTGTACAAAGACCTTGTTTCCTACAGATTTTGTTTGTTTACTTGAAGGTTACAGTTTTGGTTCTCCTCTCAAGAGGTCCTACAATCCCACAAGACATATACGTAACTCCAACCCCTGACCTGCCGTCTCTAGGGTTCAAGCTCAATCAGCCATCGGATGTAAACCTCTTACCTCGTTAAAGAGAAGTTCTCGGCGCTGCTGTTTCCGAAGGTCCATCTTCTTTACGGCGACCAGTTTTCCCGTGGTCTTCACCGTGGCGATGCACACAATTCCCGTGGAGCCCTCACCGATCTTAATGTAGTGATCCAGGTAGGTCCGCGGGTCGCCAGGATCCACCACCATCTGCAGCGCCGCTCTGAACTGCTCGTGGGAAACCCTCTGGGGTTCCCTCTGGGGCGAGCGGCCCTGAGACGGAGCTGCTGACCCCGGGGGCCCGCTGGGCACAGGGGGACGCGGGGCCGGGACATTGGGGTGAGGGGTGTGCGGGTGCTGAGAGGAATCAGGGGTGAGGATGGGGTGGGAGGCGTGATGGGTTGGAGGATGGCTTATTGGGGGCTTGGATGTGGAAGAGCCTCTGGCGGAGCTGCTGGATGGTCCATTCTGAGGGGATTCATGGTGATGGCCCACCTGGATGGAAGAGATGAAAATCTGCATCAAAACTGGGTCCAGTTAGAAAGAGTTAAAGAGCTTTTATGCTTCCTTTATTTCGGAGAGCCTCACTTTGTTTAAAGAAACACAAATTTCACAATATATTTTTATATATACAGGTGCTGGTCATAAAATTAGAATATCTATATATATCTATATATATATATATATATATATATATATATATATATATATATATATATATATATATATATTATATATCTCTATTAATGTGCTTGGACACTGAGCTCTGTGAACAGCCAGCCTCTTTAGCGATGACCTTTTGTGTCTTGCCCTCCTTGTGCAAGGTGTCGATGGTCGTCTTTTGGACAACTGTCAAGTCAGCAGTCTTCCCCATGATTGTGTAGCCTATAGAACTAGACTGAAAGACCATTTAAAGGCTTTTGCAGGTGGTTTGAGTTAATTAGCTGATTAGAGTGTGGCACCAGGGGCCATCAATTTTGAACCTTTTCACAATATTCTAATTTTCTGATATGATGAATTTGAGATTTTCATTTGTTGTCATTTGTAATCATCAAAATTAAACAAAATAAACATCTGAAATATATGAGTTTGTATGTAATGTATGAATATAATATACAAGTTTCACTTTTTAAATGGAATTACTGAAATCAATCTACTTTTTCATGATATTCTAATTTTATGACCAGCACCTGTAAAAGTCAATGGACAGCAGAATGACAGTGAAATAAATAAACTCATTAATTTTACTCTTACAGCTGCAGTTACGTAAATCAATGATACATTCATTCACAACTGGGCAAAACGTCAATTATGAATTAAATGAATATTAAAGGGATAGTTCGGGATTTTTGACATGAATCTGTATGGCATCCCCATCACCAGTGTCATGCAATCACACTGACTTACCCCTGGCAGCGTCCTGTGAGCAGAGTTCTCGTCCAGTTTTGGTCAAGCTGAAAGTAGTCCGGCAGGTTTGCTAGACCCAGCGAAATAAAACGTTTCTCTTCCCAAAACATTATGTGTTCAAAAGAGTGATATTTTTGCATCCCAAAAACATTGTAGTGGAAAAAGTCACACGTCGTTATCACTTGGTCCTATTTTCTCTCTGTTCGTATCAGTGCGCGCCGTCATTCTGACAGCGAGCTCAACAACAGCCAGATGCATGTCTCCCTCCGCCCAGCTAGGAGCTAGGCGGAGGGAGACATGCATCTGGCTGTTGTCAGGTTAGTAGGCCCTAGCTGTCAGAATGACGGCGCGCACTGATACGAACAGAGAGAAAATAGGACCAAGTGATAACGACGTGTGACTTTTTCCACTACAATGTTTTTGGGATGCAAAAATATCACTCTTTTGAACACATAATGTTTTGGGAAGAGAAACGTTTTATTTCGCTGGGTCTAGCAAACCTGCCGGACTACTTTCAGCTTGACCAAAACTGGACGAGAACTCTGCTCACAGGACGCTGCCAGGGGTAAGTCAGTGTGATTGCATGACACTGGTGATGGGGATGCCATACAGATTCATGTCAAAAATCCCGAACTATCCCTTTAAGTAATAAAAGCTCCCATCTGTCAAAAAGAATAAAGAATATCGGAGATTTTCTGACCTGCAGATGTTGGTTAACCAAAAAAAGAAAATAAAAAACAATCCAGCAAAGCCTTGTTTTTTTGGGTTACTGTTTAAAACCTCGAAATCTACGCTATTCCTGACATTTAGAACTGAAAAAGCCTTCTGGGTGAGAAGCGCAACGTCTTCACACTTGGAAACAAAGTCCAGTGTGACCTGGATGACCGATAATCTTCACCAGCATGTTGGTTAACATTGCAGAGGCCGCTGAGGCTCTTACCTGTCCCGTGGGACTGCGTCCACCTTCACTGTCTGTCCGCGGGTACGTGTTGAAAGGCCGTGTGTTCTGTTGGGCGGTCTTCATCACACCCTCAGTTATGGGCAGGTTTGGGGTTCGGATGTTTGGTCCAGAGAGAGGCCTCTTGTCCCTTGGAGATGTTGGACTGCCCTCGCGTGCAGCATAGCTGGACTTGGGCCTGTGGTCGCTCTGTTGGTCCCGGCAGACCACCTGCTCCTGAACAATGTTAAAAACAGAGCACTGTTAAACCTGAGCAGTTCTGTTTCCGACATTCAGGAAGAGATACGAGCAGATTTAAGAATTAAACTGAACTAAATGCCTTTCAGTCTGATTTAAAGTTTCCTTTGAGATGTGAAACTTTGATTGTTTTTCTTACCAATCATGATTTAATACATTATGTGCCACCTCCACCTCTTTCTACTGAATCCAACAAAGAGAGAGGATTTCAACAACGTTCATAATTTATGCATGAAAATATATCTGATTTAGCCAAAAGAAAATACTAATTTATGAGGTTATCCGAGATGTTTATTTAGAATGGAGTTAGTGACAGAAGGAAAACAAAAAATGTCTTTCTTCCTGTATTTTAGTTGCCAGAAGGCAGTCCAATCTCTGGCAGGCAGATTTCTTTCAGTTATGGTTAGGAAGTGTAAAGAAATCCTTTGAATCTCTGGTTTCTGTACCTGCTCCCGAGGATCTCTGTCTCTGTGAGCAGGAGGGTGCTGACCCGAGCCGATCCGGTCCCTGTACGCCTTGCTGGGCTCTTGGCCCCGAGGCTGCTGCTGGGGCCGACCCTGCATATCCTCGTCTCTGGAATGTGGATGGACTCCACGCTGATGGTGGCGGGGCTCGCCCTGGTGGTCCTGTCTGTGTCTGTCCCTGAGAATCAGATGGACCCAGTTAGTCCAAACCTCTAGGGTCCTGCAGCTCTTCTATTGTTCACACAACCTCTCTGTTTTCTGACCTGTCTTGTCTGTCTTGGTGTGCGTAGTGCTTGTGCTGAGGGTCTCCATTCTCGTGCTCTCTGCCTACTCCACCTGAGGAGCCGGAGTCCCTGCGAGGCTGAACGGGAGGGCTGCCTCGTCGCAGGGAGTTGGAGCGAGTCACAGACATGGTGTCGAACTCATCGAGCAGCCACGTTAAGGAGCCGTCTGCTCCCAACTTGCTGCCTCTAACAATAGTCTGAGGTACAAGAGGTGAGAAAAAGGTTTTGACTGAAAGAAGAACTGGAAATGAGATTTTGATTCAAATTAGCAGACCAACACAAAGTAGTTCACAGATGTGAAGGGGGAGGAAAATTCTTCTTGTTCACAGAAAACCGAAATAGTGTCACATAAATTTGTATTTGGCCTTTTTGACTCTGCTCCTGTAAGGAACACAATAAGACAGGTCAAGGAGGACGTTATATAGAAGTTTAAAGTAAGGTAAAGGCTCCTTCATTCAGAGCTGAAGCCTTTTGGATAAAAAGGTGAAACATCTTGAAGACTAGGGCCGGGTACCGAACTTCGGTTATTTTGTGGTACCGTCCGAAATGCTTTGGTGTGGAGGAGTATCAAAACATGCCTCTTTTCGGTGCCAAGTTTCAGTGACTGGCTGTAACATTAAATGTTATTGCGTCACCCAGGAAAAATACATATGTGGTCACGCCAACCCACAGGGTTCAGGTGTATCTGTTGTGAGTCGATTGCGTGCATCGGGGGGGATCGGCCTATTTTTAGATCGGCTTGTATTTCCAGTGTAGTCCTTTTTCTCTGACTGTGACTGGCTGGATGTGCTCTCTTCGTCCTCTGACATGGGAGTTGGCTCAGAGCTCGCCTGCCTGGTTGTGTGTTTCCTGGATGGGGGCCGCCTTTTACTGTTGATTTCTGTCTCTAATTCTGTCTCCGTGAACCCCAGTCAGCCTCGGCAGATGGCCGCTCACACTGAGCCTGGTTCTGCTGGAGGTTTCTTCCTGTTAAAAGGGAGTTTTTCCTCTCCACTTTCGCTACAAGCATGCTTAGTGTGAGGGATCGCCTTCAAGTCAATGAGTCGATGCAATCAACTGGTTTTCCTTAGATAGAAAACTTTGAATCACTCCGACTGTATGATCTGGTGAACTGTAAAGTGCCTTGAGGTGACGTGTGTTGTGAATTGGTGCTATATGAATAAACTGAATTAAAATGCCATCCAGATCAAAAGTGTGGGTTCACTTTATTAAGATTAATGCCAATAGTGCGCAATGCAATATATGCAAAAAAGACATTGTTGCTAAGACTGGCAACACGACTAATTTGAAGAAAAACTTAATCGTGCACTTGATCAATTTAAGAGCAGAAAGTTGCTCAGTGTTTGACTGCAAGAAGCGTGGACCGCAGCCAGCCCAGCCATCCTCCGCTCAGCAGCCAGTGGGCAGTGCAAAACCGAGGCGGAGTGATTTAAATAATCATCGAACTCCACCTCATCAGAGAGTACCGAAGACGCTGTTTGCAAGTGTTCTTTTGTACTGAAAAAAAATAAAAATAATAATATATATATATATATATATATATATATATATATATATATATATATATATTTTATGTAAGAGAAGTGATTGGAATGTAAAAATCTGAGCGAAAAATAAAACTAAAGATTTGCACTTTATGTTGTGTTTTCTTTTTCTTAGAATTGATATTATAAAACTGGTATTGAAAAAAAGTGTTGTTCAGGAACCGATATTGGTACTGAAAACGAAAATTTACCCAGCCCCTTTTGAAGACAAGAAAAATCGCCCATTAATTTAATATATACTGCACTAATCATTTAAAGCGGTGAGTATTAAAAAAGACCAACTGGAGGTTTTCTTGGAATCACTCCATATCAGACAATGAAAGTTCTTCTATCTCAGGTGAGACCATTAGACATTGAGAAAGTACGGTTTTCAGCCCTCCCTACCTTTCGCGGCTCAACAGTCGTGATGATGGTTGCGTCGATGAACGGTTTCGGCCTCTTGGCGGTGTCTTCGATGAGGGACTGCCATTGGCGCGGCAGCCCAACGAACTTCTGCTCCTGTTCGTCAAAGTCTGTGTGGACACGGTGCTCAAAGTTGGATGGAGCAGAGATCTGGACTCGAGGCTTCTTCTTTTTGGTAAACATGGTGCTGATGGAGGAGGCTGCTGCAAGCAAGCATCAGATCTGCATCAAGGAAGAATAAAAGAGAAAAAGATTGAAGGATAAAATTCAGATTGAAAATTACAATTTAAAAAAAAGCTCCTTAATTAGCAAATGAGTATGAATGAAAAAACATTTATAGCCATCTTACATTTTCCTTAGTGTGATGCTATCCAACTTTTGTCACCGATAGTGTTATGCATATATCTTACAGAATTAACCACTGCACTTCAACTGAAAGATCATTAGGCTGGATGGTGGCATTAATCTAGCTCTGACCTTTAGATGAAGGTTATCAGGTCAACCAGAGCCTGAAGCCAATATTCAAAGCAAGACAACAGCTCTAAGGATTTCCTAATGGGAACCTACCAGCCAGTATGGAGAGAGATAAAAGTGGAGATGGAGCGGCATCTTTGAAAAGGTCACTTCGCGAACATAACAAGCAGCTTTTATAAATTATTGGAGGTAAATACATTTCAGCTCTGAGCTTTTGAGCTTCGTTACAAGGGAGGTAAAACAAAATATAATCTACAAGGTGAAAATTTACCAAGAAGTCAACTTAATGTAAATATTGGGTCCAAAAAAAAAACAGGGATGTATGATGATGGAATAGGGATGTCCCGGTTCGATATTAGCCCAAAAAAAACAACATAAAAATGTTGGATTTTATCAGCCGCCATTTAAAATCATGCTGATAGAAACACTCTGCTTCTGTTAATATTACATGATGATGAGGCCTTTCTACATTCTACTAAAATAAAAAAAGCCGGTATGATTTATGCTAGTATTATATCTTTTCAATATTGATATCGGCCAATTCTCAAAGCTGCAATGTCAGAATCGTATAGGAAAAGAAAAGTTGTACCTGGACACCCCAAGTACTTGATACACATCACTTTAGGGCTGGGGCACATTAAGAACAAAATAGCTAAAACACTGCAGATCATTGCAATAGTTATAAGATTTTTGTTTCTTTCTGTGATGATTTCATAGTAAACTGAGCATTAAAATAAAAATATTTCAAATTAAACAAATTTTTTTTGTCTTAAGCGCCTCTGACTTCCAAATCTTTTCATGTTGCATTTAACTAGTGTCAGCAACAATATCAGGGGTACAGTTGGAATGCATGAATTTCGTTGTCATATGCAATTTGCATACAGTAATATTACATTAAAGCTACAGTGTGTAATTTTAAGCAACATCTAACGTCCAGACTGCAGACTGCAGCAACATGAACATCTTCCCCCCACCGCTTTTCCCCCCCAACAGTACGGCGAGCGTTACGGGACAAAATGTCTTCCACGACCTCCGCATCACCTACCTTCTCAAGTGATGAGGTTTGTTTACATAGATAATTTGACAGATAGTATTTCATTAGTCTGTGTGGGTATAGATTTCATGTAGACTTAAGATAATAAATATACCAGTTATTTTTTCTACATCGTTGTGACGTTTTGGCGATCTCGCAATCGCTAGTTTGTTGGCTCTGCGCTGCCGTAGCGCAAAGATGTCTGCGAGACCCGCTCCTATGTAATTATAAATAACGAATTCTAAGGCAACGCAAATATTAAGGTTAAGAGGCTGAGCTCGTAGATGATGATAAATAACATAGTTATGTATAATATATTACATTTCTGACTGTATAGCCCTGTAATTATTACACACCGTAGCTTTAACAAATATGATATAACATAGATAACAGCTACCAATTTAAACATAGGATGTCAAAGCAGAAGTTTAGTTTTTACGACTTCATACTCATCCAATTTTATTTAATGTAATTATTCTGAGCCAAATGAAAATTGCTTTAGAAATGAATGAGAGTATAAATGTAGATTTTTAAATGTATCTTTAAAAAAAAAAAAAAAAAGCTTTCTTTCACCAGAAGGCCTTATGGATATTGGCAGGTCACTTTAATCTCTAATATTTAAAGAAAAGAATTCGCAGCAAGTTTAAGAAACCAGGAACAAAGAATTTAAATAACTCAACAATAAAGAAAATGAAAGTAAAGAAACATAAAACAAATTGCTCGAATAATGTGTTTATCTTTTAACCCTTTAAAGCCCGATCCAAGAATTAAACAAAACAGAAAATAACTTTTTTTTGGTTTGAAGTCCTTATTTGGCCTTTTAACAAAATATGTAAAAAGAAAAAACAGAAATACATTTTTTATATTAATAATTTATTACTATGCGATAAGTCAAGATTATTTTTTTGTGTAGTCTTCTGCCCTCTGTTATCAGGTATATCTGATTGTGTACAATAGGATTTTGAGTAAAGTCAGACGCAAAACATTTCAGAAACCGTATGTATCAAATATGATACATTTGGCGTTATAGGTTTAACAGATGTTAACGACTGTTCCAACCGTTGCATTTCCGAATTCAACCAAGTGGTGCCCGACTTTACACGCGTGAATAAATTGAATGTGATTGGTCGGTTATCAAGGGGGCGGGATTGTTGTGGCTGAAGGTTCACAAGCATTTTGGTTGTGACTGGTGTCTCGGAAGCATCTTGCTAACCAGTTAGCAACTTAGTGCTAGTAGGTTCCCAATGGGAAATTCCATTGGGACCAAGTAGCACTAAATTGGTGACTTAGAAACGACACTGTCAAGAAAGTAGGATGTAGTAGATTAGAAGTAGAGATTTAGCAAATTATTCATCTATTAATCTAATAATTATTTTAATTCAGGGAAACTATGGTGCTTTTTCTGCATTAGCAAAAATAATGACAGTTTTGGGAAAATGTATGTTCCATAGCTTGAATAATTGGGTCCAAATTTTTTTCCTTTAACATTTCAGTGACAGAGGAGCTCTGGAAACACTCAGCCTGCTGTTTATAGGAGCTTAGGCTCACACAGCACGTGGATGAGATGAATTAGGAATCCATAAAGGAAGTCCGCTTTGTCAACATCCTCCTCTCTCCCACCTCCTTCAGGAAGGAGCTGGCTCTCCGAAGCAGGTTATTCAGCCTCTTCCTGCTACGCTCGCTGCTGCCACACCCCCAAGCAGATCCTCACCACAGTGTCATAGAAAGTTTATCAGGACCTCAGACTGTTATGGGTAAGATGTGACTGGATCAGGAGGATTAAACAGCCATCAACCACACAAGCGCACCTGGAGGAGGTGATCATTGGATCTAGACAAACCAACTGTGGGGTTTGCTTTAAATGGAATAAAAAACCTTGGACATGAAAAGGTCCTCGGCTAAATTTATAAATTCAAGTATTTGCAGGAATACTTTTCCCTGGCAGTAGAAATAATTATCAAAATGGAAGATTCCTGTTTAGATCAACTAAATGTTGAAATAAACATCTATTTGGCAATAATAAAAAACAGAATTATTGTAGAAATAAAACATATCAGAGCATATGTTAATGACACTACAGTTTACTGAGAATAAAATAGAAAATTCCTTTATTTTCAACAAATGAGGAATTTTTTTTGTGCAATAACAGCAAAGTGACAGGAATCTAAAATAATAAAACTCACACAAAAACTTACAATTATGTATAAAAAAAATAAAAATTTTACATTAGGAGCCAAAATAACCAAATACTGTGCTATTATTAACAAAATGACTGAATGTAGAGCTGATTATAGGTTAATCTAAAAACACTATTTTACAATAAGCGACAGTTAAAGCAACAAATTGCAAAAAACAGTGAAGATGTTGCTAAAATGAGCGAATAAACTACAAACAGCAGCATGTATGTAAACTCCTACTGAGCTTGTAGGGAGCAGGGATGGTTTTAACGTCTTTCAGCTGCTGGTAGGAAGGATCTGTGATAACGCTACCTGCATGTTGAACCACAGGCTAAGGCCGTTTCTTCAGGAGTAGCAGATGATCAACATAAGGGCCTTAAAATAGATCTAGCTTCTGATATTAAATGCACTCAGCATTAATGTGATACAGATATTTTCTAGCATGAGGAATAAAAGCCGCTTCCAGATGTGCTGACAGGCAAAAAGATCCTTCTCCTTAAATATTTAAATGCAAGATGTTTACATTTCAGAAGGTTAATGTGAGACAAGCTCTGCACACTAAGGGTTGGTTATCCTTCCGCAGCAGTGTGTCGGAGTGAGCATGTCGCAGGTATTTTTGATTTATGCCCAATATTGAAGCGTGGTCTGCCATGTTTTAGTCCACGCCACAACGCAAGAGGAACAATCAGGAACTAGCTGTGGGTCTAGATACGGCCGAGGCGGTGAGGAAGTGGGGGCAAGTTTATGCAACAACGGAGGGACATGAGTAGGGCTGAGTAAAAATCAATTTAATCGATTTTGAATCGCTTCCTTTACATGTTTGCAAAATCGACGTCTAGGGAATGTGATAGATTCATTTTATAGCGACCCACATCACGTTCACATTCAAATAAGCAGGAAAGATTACTTCAGACTCAACACTACTTCAAGCCAGATAGCTGCAAATATAGCCAATAGGTTGACTGAACACATTAACAAATGGGGGCTGACCAGAAAACACCCTGTAGTTGTTACAGACAACGCTGCAAATATGGTTTGTCTGCTGTGTCACGTCTGCTTGCTCGAGTGAGGCTTCACTTTTTCACTTTTCACAAACAAGTTTGGACTTTTGAGACAGTTTTGTTCACATCTCAAGTTTAAACTGTCTAATTTACAAGTTTGCACTTTGCGTTTAATGTGACAGGAAAAAACAAAATACATGAATATTTTGAAACACAGTTAAACTACTTGCATTATTGTAAAAACAGATCGATTCGAAATTAATCGATTTAGAACGGTATGAATCAAATTCGAATCGATTCAGGACTTTGGCGAAAATACCCAGCCCTGGAAAATGAGGGCAAAAAGAGACGAGATCGAGGTGGAAAAAGAATCCCAGCGTTCTCGCGCACATCGCTCTATTAGCCGGTACAACTTCACAGGCCGTTTTCCACAATGGCGGTCATACAAACAAAACAAGCCGGTAAGGTACCAAACAGGCAATATGCAGATGTAGATTTGCCCAATCAGAGGCCTCCTGACTGCGGCACTGTCTGGGG